TGCATGTGCAGAGAATGCGCTTAGGCAGCTGCTGCAGTTCAGGGGTTGCCACTGCCAGCCACAGCTTCAGACCACAGCTGCTCCAGGCCAGGCAGCAGTGAAAGCCAGCAGTTGCTGCTGGCCTTGGTGAGACAGAGCAGAATGTTGGCATCTGCTGTGGGCCCAGCCACCACACAGAAGGATACCAGACACTGTTCTGAGCCCAGGTGTGGTGGCAACTGATGCCAGCAGCCACTCCAGACCCAAGCACCGTAACAGTGGACACTGGCAGCTGCTGCAAGCCTGGGTGTGGTGGATGAGGATTCCAGTAAAAGCTCCCCACCTTTTACTGGAATCCTCCTCCACCATACCCAGGCTCGCAGTGGCTGCCATGCTTGGTGTTTGGGGGGGGGTAAATGGGATTCCCACCCCCATGAGTCTCCTGGCTCCTTCACTGACCCCAAAGGAGGGAATCAGCACCAATGGGGGGAAGATTCCCCCTGTGAGTATCACAGGTTTCCACGTTGTTTCTGTATATTTGTACACACTATGTTTCAGAGAAAACACTTGTTCTTCAAAGCAGAGACCTAACTTGTGAAAGGCAACTTCTGATTAAAGAAATACTATTTCACAAACATGTTATTTATTTATTGGACTTTTATCCCGCCCTCCCCTGCACTGCAGGGCTCAAGGTGGGTTACAACGAAAAGATGAAACAAACTATCAAGATATCATTCTAATATTAAAACTATAGCAACAATTACAGTACCCCAGATGGCAATCTGGCATAGTTAGGGAGTGGTCCCAGAGTTTCTGCATGGAGATGCGTCCACGATGGAACAATTTCTGGGCAGTGGGCAAAGACCGTCAATACACCAAACAGAACATTGTGGACAGTGCAGCAGGGTAGCGCAGGGGAGGTCGATGTAATTTAGATGCCTGTTGCCTCAACCAAAGTCCTGGCAGAACATCTCCATTTTACAGGCTCTGCAGAACTGAAGCAGATCCTGCAGGGCCCTGATCTCATATGAGAGCATGTTTCACCAGGCCGGAGCCAGAGCCGAAAAGGCTCTTGCTCAGGTCAAAGCTAGAAGAGAAGAAGAGAAGAGATTGGATTTATACCCTGCCCTTCACTACCCGAAGGTGTCTCAGAGCTGCTTACAAACTCCTAGACAGATGTTTTTTGGGGCTGGGGATCACCAGCAGTTGTTGCTCTGCCAAGTGCAAAGCTCTGCAAGAAACATGTTAAAAAGAGGTACTCAAATAAAATTCCCCGGACCTCAGCACTAATTTCTTCTGATAATCATCAATATTCACAACATTCTACTTTGATTCAAAAAATAAGTCCATTGGTACCTTAATTTTTCCAGCATAAGTGTTGGTGAGTCACAGTTCACATCTGGAATTTTCATTCTTCTCAGAGGGGCACTATTCTTCTCTAGACACTCTCACTACTTCAGATACTCAGCCTCTGGATTTCTACCTGTGCTTCTGTTTTGTTCTTTAAGTCCTCCCTTTGCATGTTTATGTATGTTTTGATTCCCTGTTGCCCACTTCCTCAGCAATGCAAGTCTGATATAGGCCTTTAAATGCCAACTTATTCAAGTCACCTCTCATCTTCTAGAATATCCGGTCCAACCTTCTTGGGCTACAGAAAAAAACTCTGCACCATCCTCTATATGGCAGCCCTTCAAGTACTTGAAGATGGTTATCATATCACCTCTCAGTTGTCTCCTCTCCAGGCTAAACATACCCAGTTCCTTCAACCTTTCCTCATAGGACTTGATCTCCAGATCCCTCACCATCTTCGTCGCCCTCCTCTGGACATGTTTCAGCTTGTCTATATCCTTCTTGAATTGTGGTGGCCAAAACTGAACACAATACTCTAAGTGAGGCCTAACCAGAGCAGAGTGAAGCGATAACCATCACTTCTGTTGACACAGCCCAAAATTGCATTTGCCTTTTTAGCTACCACATCACACTGCTGACTCATATTCAGAGTATGGTCTACTAAGATCCCTAGTTCCTTTTAGCACATACTACTGCCAAGACAAGTCTCCCCCATCCTATAATTATGCATTTGATTTTTCCTACCTAAATGCAGACCTTTACATTTATTCCTGGTGAAATTTATTTTGTTTTAGCCCAGTTTTCCAGCCTGTCAAGATCATCCTGTATCCTGAATCTGTCTTCTACCATATTTGCTGTTACCCCTAATTTAGTATCCTCTGCAAATTTACTAAGCATTCCCTCTGTTCCTTCATCTAAATCATTTATAAAGATGTTGAACTAAACAGGACCCAGGACAGATCCTTGAGGCACTCCACTTGTCACTCCTCTTCAAGAGGATGAGAAACCATTAACAAGCACTCTTTGGGTACGATCAGTCAACCAGTTACAGGTCTACCTAACAGTCATAGGATCCAAACCACATTTTACCAATTTGTCAACAAGAATATTATGTGGAACCTTATCAAAAGCCTTACTGAAATCAAGATAAGCTATGTCTACAGCATAGCTTTTTTCGAAAAAAGAGATAAGGTTATTCTGACATGACTTGTTCTTGAAAAACCCATGCTAGCTCTTAGTAATCACAGCTGTCCTTTCTAAGAACTGACTGATGAGTTGTTCTAAAACTTTTTGAGGTACAGACATCAAACTGATGGTTCAGTAGTTACCTGGATCCTCCTTTTCCCCCTTCTTGAATATGGGAACGACATTTGCCCACCTCCAATCTCCTAGCACCTCACCTGTTCGCCGAGAATTCTAAAAAATAATGGATAGAGGCAAGGAAATTACATCGGCGAGTTTTTTTAGTATCCTTGAATACAGTTTATCTGGCCCCAAGACTTCATTTCATTTAAAGAAACTAGGTGTTTGTGTACTACCCCTATGCCAATCCTAGGTTGCAACTCCCTTCCCTCATCATCTGTTTTTGCCACGTTGAGCACCGTTTCCCTCATGAGAGAAGACTGAGGAAAAGTAGGAATTGAGCAATTCTGCCCTCTCTTCATCACCTGTTACAATTTCACTTTCCTGTTCACCACAATGGGCCTACCATGTCCTTGCTCTTTTTCTTACTTTGAACATAAGAACCCTATTTTGTTGTTTTTAGAATCTCTCTCTAGCCTAAGCTCATACTGAGCTTTAGCTTTCCTAACTCTCTCTATATAAGCACTGATTATTTGTTTATATTCATCCTTGGTTATAAGGCCCTCCTCCCATTTCCTAAATGAGTCCTTTTTAATTCTCAGTTCTTCAGAAAGCTGTTTATTGAGCCACCTTGGCTTCTTTAGGCTCCTCCCATTTTTTTCCTTCTCATCAGAATCATCCAATGAGTTAATCAGTCTCCTGCACAAGTTTTGGCATAACCCGAGGAGAGCCTTGACCTTACCTTCTCCAAAGCATGGCATTGCTAGCTCCTAAAATGGCTGCCAAAGCGAATTTAGCCAAGATGGAGTCAGCGCAGACAACGCACAACTGGGAAAGGGGTCCCTGGTAACACTGTGCAGTTAAAAGCGTGATCTATTGATTTTGTGCCTTTCTCGTCACTGTTAAAGTTGCAGAGCTTGATCGTTCCTACCCACAAAAAAGTATCTTTTATGTTTCTGACACTACCACTCCATGGATGTTACAACAGTGATTTCTTTAAAAATACCAGTCCATTAGATTGGCTTTGACTCAAGATGGTCTAGTATTTTGGGGACACAAGATCTCTTAGATGAGAGCAGCCTGGCTACAGCAGGTCAAGTGCTGGCAATTTTCTTTTCATCCCCAGCATTGTGGTATTTAAGAATCTGGGATAAGACGATTATGGGGAAAACAACATTTTAAAAAAAGTTACTTAGAACATTTCTGTGCCGGGTCTCCAGAGAACCCTCTCGATGAACACATCAAATTATGCTCTCAGAAGCATTAGCCAAGCTAAATGCCTCATGCCAAACAGCAATCCTTTATTGCGTTTTGTAAAAGTGACTCAACAGCCCAAAGTAGGCTACTAAATATACATCTTTCTGGTCCTATAACACTGTCATTCTAGGCAGAGTTACATCCTTTTAAGTCAACAGACTCAGAATGGTGTAACTGTGCTTAGCATGGCACTGCTAGTTCTCTACATATTGTTCTAGCTCTTTAGGTGACCCTTGCAATAAACTATGTGACATACTAATTCCACTCTGGCATGAGTCATGAAACTCACCAGGTGATCTTGGAGCAGTTCTTCAGAGCCTAATCTATTAAAAGAGGAGAAAATGGGGGATGGGGAGTGTTTATATAGCACTTTTTACACATATTAGTATGTTGTAATCCTAACAACACTCCTGTAAGAAGATCAATATTGCAGATTTGTAAGGGGGAGGAAACTGAGTTGGAGAGAGTATGACTTGGTGAAGACTACGAAGGGGATCCTGGTGGCAAAAGGGCGATATCCGAACCGGGAGTACTTCCAACCGACTTTGCTTGCTTGAGTATTGCATTATTGTTCCTCCCGTTGTTACAGCCCTTTGTCAAACTTTAAGACACGGAACAGCCCTTGCCCTGTTTTCAGCATCCGAGGGAACGCTGAATTTCCTCACCTCTCAGCAACGGCATCGAGGCATTTTCGCCACTTGATCGGGCGAAATTCATGGACACTTGAAATTCATGGACACTTGAGGGTGGGGAGGGCGGGGTTTGGGGAAGAGCAGGACCTTAGTGGGGGTATAATGCCATGATGGGAGTCCACCTTCCAAAGCAGCCGTTTTCTCCAGGGGAAGGGGAACTGATTCCTGTAACCTGGAGACCAGTTATAATTCTAAGAAATCTCCAGCCACCGCTTGGAGACTAGCAACCCTCTGTGAGGAGGCTGACGAAGGAGGGAACTCTGTCCCTGCCAAGCGGCTTCCCTTTGACGCCCAGCGTACCGCATTACACATTAGCCCAGCAGCAGCTCTGGGGGCGGGAACGCGAAAGACCGGTCTGCGTCTGACCCTCGCCGGAGCCACAGAGCGAAAGCGGACGAGGAAAGGGGCAGCCGGCACGCCATGGCGGGCACGCAAGTCCACATGTGCAAGACCATCTTTCCCGCCCACGCCAACCACCACGGGGCGCTCAGCGCAGGGCAGCTCCTTAAGTGGATCGACACCACAGCTTGTTTAGCGGGTAAGCACGCGCCTTCCCCCTCCTCCATTGCTCCTAGGAGCTTTCAAGATTGTCTCGACGCAAGATGCCCCCTCGGACATCGACTCTAGCCGCCTTCTTTTCCAGCCCTGGTCTAAGAGACAGCCCCCCGCGCGGTCCTTATGACTGCAGCCTGACTGGTGAGCAGCTCTGGGCAAACTAGAGGTCTCCGTCAAATTGGTGCCAGTTCCTTGTCTAAAAATTACAGACCCATCCTGTACAAAAACATAAATCAAAATAATAAAGGAAAAGAACATCAAATATATGGTCACATGAGGTCCTTTGCCTGTTTACTTGTTATTTACTTATAAGGGTTCTTGCTAAAGTCCCACAGAACTTTGAAACGCATTTAAATATTTCGAAAAGTTTGGTGTAGTGGTCAGAGTGTTAGCCTAGGATCAGGGAAACCCAGATTCAAAGTCCCATTTTCATAGAAGCCTGGTGGGTAACCTTGAGCCATGCACGCTCAAGGTTGTGAGGACAAAATGGAACTGGGAGTATGATCTTGTAAACCATTTTGGATTCCCATTGGGGAGAAAAGTAGAGTACAAGGATAATTTTCTGTTTAGCAACAGTTGTAAGATACCTAAAACGAGCATACCTGTGTTTATATTTTTACATCACTCAACCTGGAACTTGTGGAATGAAATCCACTTAAGAACCACAGATAACAAATCAAGCCACACCTACAACAAAATGCAGCGAGTTCCTTCTTGGCATTTATGGTGCTGGCCAGGAATGCATGAATATATTACATTAGATTATGCTATGGTCTCATTATATTAACCTAGTTTTAGATATGGATAAAGCTAACCACATTTTCAGTATGGAATAATATGAAGAACAGATCGAATGATGTGCAAAAGTGTAGGAGGTGCACAAAAAGAAAGAAGGAAAGGAAGGAAGAAAAGAAAAGAAAAAGTGATGGCGCACACCCCTAACGAAAAAAACACAGAATGTCCATCTGTCAGATTGGCTAAATTAATTGTAATGAGAAATTCCAGATGGGTAGCCTTGGAGTCTTTGACAACAAAATAAAACAAGAATCCAGTGACATTTTTCAAATTATTTATTTATTTATAGTCCACCTTTCTCACAGAGACTCAAGGCAGATTTCACAAAGTGTAACAAAAAACTAGCAACATCAACAAAAACTGAAAACTAACACAATGTATTCCAGTGCAAGTTTTCGTGAGTCAGACCTCACTTCATCAGATCACATCCAGATACATCCATTAGGCTCATGCTATTATGTTCCTTGACCTGATGAATGTATACTTCAATACATTTGATGAAGTGAAGTCTGTCTCATGAAAAATTATTTTGGAATAAATTATGGTAATCTTTAAAATGCCACTTATAAAGAGTAAATTCAAAATCTGGATTTTTACTGGCATAAAAGCCATTAGATCTAAACTATGGGAAAAGAGCACATTCTGGAAAGTATAAGAAGCAACTGGAAAATATAATAATGTACCCATATAGATATTCATCTTTTCCTTTATAATTTTCCTATTTTGTACAAAATTGTTTCAAAGTAATGTTAGAAATCACTTATACACATGTGGGATAAATTCCTTAGCAATCTTTTAAATGGTCTGCCCTGTCAAGGTTTAAAATAGCAAGGAAATACTTTTCAGGAGACGCTTTGCATGATAGCAACCTTCTAAGAAGAAGAGCACATGGACTTATTATATTTGAATGTTCCTTTAATGTGTCTCTGTTCAACTGAATATACCCAGCAAGACAAATGCATGACAATGGCAGACACCAGTGTATATCTGTTTAGGGAACATCATATGTGAAATGGCCTGAGAAGACAATCATAGTTAGAGAAGATTGCCTGGTATTTATAATTCTCTATGTTGTTGTGTTTTGTTTTGTTTCTCATTATTTCTTGAAGCTGAAAAACATGCTGGCTTCTCTTGCGTGACAGCATCAGTGGATGATATACAGTTTGAAGAGACTGCCAGGTACAAATTTGCGTAGTTATTATTAAACTTAACAGCCCTTCTTTTTTATTTTCTATTTAACAAAGATTAACCAGAACGTATCATGTCTGAGATAACAATCCAATGATTTCTCTATGGGTAGAGGGTTCATTTGGCTACAATAAGATAAAGTAACCCCAAAGATAAAACCATATGCATCATTTTCACCAAGTAACTATAGTCACTTTTGGCCAATGTGCTAGGAAATAATTTAGTAAATTATGTAAGCCTTTGGCACTTGCAAACATGCCATGTCATTGCTACTTTTTCTGAAATGTTCACAGAAGTGATTGCAATAAGAAAGTGATAGTTGAAGACTGTTGTTTAATTTCATACCATTCATTTGCTCTGATAATATAAGAAATCCATGCTCAGGAAAGTAATAAATAGACATTTCTTCCCATTTTAAATATTATGGGTTAGACCATGAGCAAGCTCTGTTCATGGAACTTTCCCACTTGTCACTTCGAGTCAGCATGATTTCTAAAGTGTGCCATCTGAGGCTGACAGGAAGAGCAATGGATATTATGTGAGAATCTGCTTTTGGATAGGGGATCAGTGAAAATTACACAAAACTTGCTGTGGTTAGTCTAGCTTCAACTGTAGTCTGGCATTTACAGTGAGCTGTATACTACAACACTAGGAGTTCTTCATTGGATATTCACAGCCACATCAGACTATCAGAGTATACATGGAGTTAGATGTATTTATTTATGTGCTGCAGTGTGCATTTTACACTTACTTTCAACATCATCTGCCATTTTGGGTCTGCTCAACCACTTTAGAAACATCTTTTGGGAGTTTTTACAGTTTGCTTGGGATTTCTCCACCATGAATTCTTTGATATCTTCCAAAAAGTTTCCTGTTTCATGCCTGACATCCGACTGTTTTAAAACAAGTTAGTGTTTGACTGTTTTCTCTTTGCGCCCCTTAATGTCACTCTCTTATCCTTATGTTTTCCTGTTTTCATATTCCCATACCCACAGGTTTCTTTGCATTCTCACAATTATTACCCCTATTTCCTTCTCTCTCTCTCTCTCTCTCGTTCTACCATGCACCTCTGAATATAGGGAGAGAAAGAACAACAGAGAAAAAGTACCTGTAAAGGTGTTTGAAATTCTA